GACTAAAGTATCGAACCGAACCGTGAATTTTCTGTATCGTTGCAGATGGCCACAACAGCTATTCAGTCTTTGCACATTACGTTTTCAAGATATTAACCTTTGTTGTGGTAGTAGCTGAGAGTTGGACACAACACCCAGTGTGAGCTCTAACATATATGAGCTTTTTATTTAATTATTTGGCGTGTAAGACTTTGGCTTTTTCACTTTAGGTTTACGTTTTTACCAGCAGTTTTATTTTTACCATCATTTTCTTGCGGCAGGCCATGTTGKTCCAGTCCTGAGGTCGAAAACGTTTGTGGGCTCCTTTGTTTGGATCCACCAGGAACTCCCCGATGGGCACCGTGCCAGAGCACCACTCCAACACCCCACTGCGCTGAGAGAACGGCACCACCTGACATCCAAGAGCGGAAGGGTCAACGTGAGATAAGATCTGACGGCGTACCTCAGGTCAAAACATGACTGTCGTTTTTTTAATTTAAAAAAATGAGCGGTCAAACTTTGTATCTTCTGATGTTGAGCTTCCTCTTCCGAGTGTCGGTGTTTCGCTGCAGCAGCATGGAGCACATGCTGAAGACCTGCTGCATCACCGCGTCCTGCCGCAGGTCGTCCTGACCCTGATACCGAAGACAGGGGGACACAAAAAAATAAAATAAAATCACCAAGGACAGCAACAATGTGTTCTCTCTCTTTGTTTGTCTTCTGCAAAACTCTTTACAATAAATCCAAAAAGAGTTCAAAACAATTGGATTAAAACAAAGTACATCTAGTACTTCCTTGTTATTTACTTATATGAACTTTGTTTCTTTTAAGGTTATTTGCAAAATATTWATCAAGTAAAAAAATATCTGCGGTGACTCTAACACTCATTAAGGTTAAAGAGGCCTTTATGCTCCTGCAAACAGAAACACACTTTCACACACACACACCCTCCCCTGCTGTGTTAAAGCCTGTTTGTTCTGGTATAAAACAAGGATTAATTATTATCAACAGATAAACCAAACAGAAAATAACTGGAGCATCAAGTGAGCAGCTTCACTACAGCTGGTTAGACTTTAACCTCCCGACATGCTCGGCTTTATGTTCAGAGTCACACAYGTGTGTGTATTTGTACCCTGTGCTTGAATACACGTACTAGAAARGGGAAAAAAAGGATTCTTCACTTGGCGAAAGTATCAGGACTCACTTTGACCAGCTGCCTCCAGCTTGTTCCGTCAGAGCCGACACAGTCAATGATCTTAGGCAGGTTGACTCCTCCCACAAGGCGATAGTGAGGCTGGAAGGATCTAACAGTCACCAGGCTGTCGTAGCAGCCAGATGGGTCCACCTGATCACAACATGCCGAATTTAAAAAATACAAAACGTATGCTAAAAATACACGAATAAACCTGCAAAAATGGGGTGTGGATGCTAATTGTTAAATGAATTTGCTGAATTGATGAAAGTGATTTAAATAATACCTGAACATTCAATAT